CACGGACGGCGAAATATCTGCCAGTGCGATTCGCATCGGCGCGTTCGAAACGAAAAACCCTCGGTCCCCCCCCCCCCCCCCCCCCCCCCCCAACGCTCGGTTCCGTCGTTCCGATCGCGATAAAAAGAGGGATGAGGCGCCCGGATCCAACGATGCACGAACTTCTGACTTCTCCGCGGCGCGCACCTTGACGAGGGCCAAGATTTTGCACGTCGATAACGTGGAAAATAAATAATTTGCACCGTGGAGAAACATCGAGCAGATAAAGAACTTCTATCAGATGGCCGAGTGTCCGTACCGTGAACCGTTTCAACGATTCAAGTCGAGCATCGTCCTACATGCTACGCAACACGGGAACGACACACCATATCGTGGAGAACCAAACGAGATACGGGGAATTATTAAACGTCATGCTTGTTGGTTGGCAACGAAGGTTAAAAAAAGACAAAAGAAAAAGGAAAGAGAGGAATTCGTCATCAAGGGATAAAATCGGGAGATAAAATAAAATGTCACGTAACATTCCAATTTTCCTAATTTTTTTCAACTTCGAAAGGAATATCGAAAAAAAAATTATTTCAATCACTCTGATTTTACAGCAGGTTGACATATATATATATTCAAATATACGATATACGTATTTCAAGAAGAAGATCACGACTGTAGAATAAAATTATTCACAACATAGTCGGTGAAAAATCCACTCTGAGAAACCCGTTTGCGAAGATGTAGTGACTCGTTGCAAAGATAACGCTAACCTTAGCCTCAAGTCAATTATCCATAATATTTCTTAAAACACTTTCATAAGTTTCGCTGTGTACTCTCTTTCTCTCTTTCTCTCTCTCTCTCTCTCTCTCTCTCGATACACAACTTGATAATTAATCAAATAGCATTCAAGTTGCAAGTTCCCAGAACGGGAATCGGCCGCGAAAAATGAAAGAACAAAGAGACGCGCATACGGTGTGTTAACGCGAGGGGAAAAAAGATTTCAGTAAGGAGCTACCCATCGAACCCAGTAGAAAATAAACAGAAATAGGACAGGTTCCAAGACTGGATCTAAATATAGGATATATACCCAGTGTGCGTACTACTACGGGTGGGGCATCCTCGTAATCGTCGTGTTTGCTGCCCTTCGTCTCTCGCTCTCCATGCTCTCTTCGCCGAGAGAACTGTAGAAAACGACCTATAACCGGGCGTCTGCATAACCTATACACCCAACAACCTACGCGTCCCCGAGAAAACCGACCCCCACAACGTTCATTCATATCCTGCAAAACGGCGTGTGTCCAGAGAGACTTCGTCTGCGCCACGATGCCACCGGAACACGATTGATTTTCCCCTCTCTCTTTCTCATTCGCCATCCTCCTCTTTCATTCGTTGGTTCATTGTCTTTCAAAGAGCAATTTTCCAAGTTAGCCAACAGAAACAAAAGGGCACGAACTCTAAACGTGGTACCGTAAATACGAACATAACTACGTTCGCGGTATATCGGTGGTAACAAATCATGCCTTTGTACATGGTGTTAATATTTGTTAAAATAATCATTTTGTAGCAATAGGTGTTGATTTGCAAAAACACCATGAAAAGCAGATACGAAGAAAAACGTTATAACGCTAGAGCTACCAAGCATGGAATTTTCATCAGAAACGTTAGAATGAAAAAATTAGAAAAACCGTGAAATACAATAGAATATACGAGCTTGCAATGATTTTTATTTTATAAAAAAATCATTTTAATCTCTGAAGATACATTATTTTATATCTATAATATATATCAGAACAGAAATTATAAATTAGTTGTTTCGACCACCTCGGTAATTCTAATGTTAACTATCATTTTCATTAGCTTTCAAGTATGCAATTCTTAACGTTCTCGAGTATGCCATTGAAATTTCATTGTCATTCCCAATTCCATCAGAAATGTATAGATATTTGTGAAAATTCGTTCGCTATACGATACAATAAGATTGACTACTATAGCGTATACGAAGCTTTCGTAATTCCGTGTTATACTTGACACCTAGTCCAATTCAAACACACTAAAAGAACACAGCGAAAGATTGCGGATTAAATGACCAGATGAAAACCAATGTGGTTTCTCGGTGGTTTGTTTCTTTTTTTTCTTTTTAAAGACCGGCAGCGACAAAGGGAAACAGTATACAGATGGAAAAAAGAGCCAGGAAGCAGAATCAGCTATCTACGATTTTGATCATCGGTCGCTCCTTTGAAAGAGGCGAGCGAGGATCGAATTACCAGCTCAATTCATCCGTGAACTTCTGCGTGGTTGAATATGTCGCGTGTTTGCCAAGAACCGCCGTTGTTTTTACGCTCCAACGAACAGACTCGCCCGAAAAACGTAACACCGCCGAGATACAACACGTTAACACGCGTTACTACTCGCGATCTTCGACGATGTTCTTCGTTTCACCTCGCGAAGATTTCAAACAGTACCGCTCCTTCGATCGGTTTCTTTTCAGTTTTCGAAACTGAGCAAGAGAAATCGCGTCCTTTTCGCTATCTGGCGCTCCATCGAGCAAAGTATGTATTTCGCGAAACATCGCTCATTCTCTTCTCTCGTTCTCCATCGCGAGAATTATTTATAACCGCACATATACGCCGCAAACGCGAAACAACTTTCGTTCGGCCGCGAAATGAAAATATCCCCAGTCGCGTTTTTTTTTTTTCTTTTTCTTTTCTTTTTATACGAGCTTCGAAATCGTGCTATAAAAGAAGGAGCGACGGAAGCATGTGCTTCTTTCCATACGGAATACGTTCTCGTCCGCTTTAACCCCCTGGAATACGCGATTCTAAATTCTCAACCGTTCTCACCGCGACCTTCTCGCGACACTGAACTTTAACACGACACATTCGAGGGCGTGACAAAAGCTCTATATCGAGAATCCTTCGAAATCCTTCCCCCTTCTTATCACCCCCTCCCGTTTTTATCATTTTTGTCTTCCTTCGGAGGTATAAAGATAATAAGAGGAAGCTAGCGTGAAGATATATGTATGTATATAAATGTGTGTGTAGAATGTTTCGATGTTTGAACCAAGATATTCAACATAAGCGATCATTGACCATTTCGATTTTAATTTTTAAAACTACCGACGATTAAAGTATGTATATAATCCCCATCAGAGAAATTAAAGTAAAAAAACAAACAACTTTATGATACAATAGAATACACAAGTTGTTATTTGTTACATTTTACCAAAAAAATCATTCAAATCTCTAAAAAAATAGACCGTTTTACAACTACAAAGTTTCTAACAAAAATGATGAATTGATCGTTTTCACCATTTTGGTAGTGTTAATTCTTAAACTCTCACTATACACTCTACTTCATTTTCAAACTATTGCGTGAGAGATATAAACTTCTTCTGACGTTTTTTCTTTTCTTTTCCAAGTTTCATAATTACCGATAAAAGTAGCATAAATAACTGTACAGCTAGCAACGTAAAAAGAAATATGCAAATGATCGAAGATGGGTGATTCTTGTTTCTCACCAAAGATCGAATAGCTAATTATACAATATTCAGATTATGTGTTTCAAGGTCACTGGAATTTTTTTCGCTCGTTGAAAACACCACACGGCCAAAGTAATAATAAATATTACGTTGGAGTTCTCTAACGTAGCCACTCTGCCAATTTAATCGGATTACTAATAGCGTGGGATGAAAACGAAGCGAAGAGGAGAATGGCTGACTATCATGTGAAGGTGTGTGTATTAATAAGCCGGCGATCCGAAAGAAACGTTCTTCTTATCGACGTCACTAAAAGAAAACAGCTCCTCTGCAAGGTCAGAAGAGCTTGCGTGGGAGAGAAACGTGACCACTATGATAAGAGATCGTGATAATTGTATTCTTACACGTTGTCCCGGTGGACCTCACAGGAAGTCATCAGAATATATCGTGACTGCCAGGCCAATTATTGTTTGTAACAAGCTATGTATACCCTTCTCCACACTCAATCTACTTGTAGGTACCACGAATTTAAAAAAAAAAAAAAAGAACCTCGGTTACCTTCCACCGCATAAATTCGCGTAATTACAGGGTCACCGCTTTAAGAAACTTCTCGCGTATCTTCATCTTGCATCGCGCAGGAAATTAATTTTCTACCCGAATGACGCTTAACGTGACAAATTGTACGTTAAGATCTTTATACGTACGTTATACATTTGAAGTTTTCGATTATCTTGAATGGAAGTACCAATGTAACTGTTACAAAATACGTATTTTCATGCGTATTTCAAAAGTATCAGAACTTAAAATGAGAGAAATATTTTAAGAGTAAGAAATGCAAAATTATAAAAAAATAATATTTGACTGTTGCTTCCTAGAGTCTATTCTTTTTGCGTAGCAAATAATAATATTTTTGTAAGCTTTGAAATAATATTTTACCCTTCCTTTCCGAATTGTGCCACTTTAAAAAAAAAATATATATATATATATATATATATACATATATTTTCACGCGTATTTCAAAATTATCAGAACTTAAAATGAGAGAAATATTTTAAGAGTAAGAATTGCAAAATTATAAAAAAATAATATTTGACTGTTGCTTCCTTGAGTCTATTCTTTTTGCGTAGCAAATAATAATATTTCTGTAAGCTTTGAAATAATTTTTTGCCCTTCCTTTCCGAATTGTGCCACTTATATATATATATATATATTAGATACTAACAATAAACTGATCAATTTTCAAAGTTAAATTGTTCAACTCTTAAATAAGTGTACGATTAATATTCAATTCTTGAGAAACAAACGACTAATCCATGTGTTCGTTCATCGCAAAAAAAAAAAAAAAGAAAAAAAAAAGAAAGGAATAAACTCCGAAATAAACTTAAAAGCAGTGCTTGTATAACGTTGTTTGTTCCCTGCAATTTATAGAGTTTGTTCCCTTCGATTTACAAAATTGATCAATGTGCGGTCTCTGAATAGTTGATAAACACTAAAAACCAAAGAACAAGTGAAGAATGATAAAAGGGAGAAACGAACTTACCGAGCCCGATCGCTGAAGAAGTCAATCTTACTCTTCTTCTTCATAATGACCTGAGGCTGATGAAGGGGGCTAACGCTGGGTTCGCTGGTGGCCGGTGGCGAGCTGGAACCGGTGCTGGACGAGAGGGAACCGGCTCTTCCACGGCTGGATTCGATTAACTGCACCTCGGTTGGACCGCGACCGTTCGCCGAAACGTGATTCCCATGGCTCGGCGGGCCAGCCGAAACGGCCAACGTGGGCCTGGTGTTCTGACGATTGCGACGTTTCTTCTTCTTCGCCTCGTTCTCGTCCTGTCTGTTACCAGTGGCGTTACCACTTCCCGGTGGGATCCAATCGAGATCTTTCTTCAAATGGCCGCGGCCGCAACGACAGCCGCACGCCTTAAACGCCAGATCGTAACCCTTTTTCGTCCAGAGGTTCTGATGGCGCTGTCGCTCGGACCAGCTACGGGCGCGTCCGCACGTCTTCAAGTATGTGAGCACCGTTTGCTCCCAGGCGTCGAAACACTCGCGATGCATGAACTGGCCGACCGGGCAGCTATCGTTGTTGCACGTCACCTTGACCGCGTCGTGTAGAGCGTTTAAGCGAATTAAAGCATCACCCCGGAGGCACTCGCCGGTAGGCGTGCAACAACGGGTCGTCTGATTCTGTGTTAGCAGGTTGTTCTCCATCGTGTCGTTCATACCACCGCCACCGGCTCCTCCACCGCCGTTCTCCATTAGTACACCAGCGTGGCCGTTCGCGTGACGCCGCGGTGCCATCACTTCCTCCTCACGGATCGGTGTCAAACACACCCTTGCGATCCGATCCGTCTCTTCCAACGTGTTACTCACTGTGAACCACAAACCGACGCCTCGTATCGTGATGATGATGATGATCTTCCTCCTCCTCCTCCTGTCGTGACCAACGATCCCCCAAGGGAAAGTAGGTAAGTGACACACAGCCGTCGTATGCAAAGAGACCAATCTCAGAGTAGCAATGCGCTGTAGCACGAGTAAGCGTTACACAACTCGTTTCTCTCACGTTGTTTATCCCACCGGTTATTCTATTCTTTCATCTTCACGCAATTCCCGCGTCTCGGCTGCGTCGTCGCACGCACACCCATCCAACGACTGGCTTTTGATGTTTCGCCAAGTGGCGCGCAATAAATTCCGCAGAGACACGCAGCGGATGTGTCTGGTACTGGAGAGAGAGAGGGAGAGAGAGACAGAGAGAGAAAGAGACACAAAAAGGCGGGCGTTACAACGAGAATAATCGCGGTGGGCTCAATCGGTCGAATCGAGAGACAGGACGAACGTGCCGAGACCAAGTGTCATTCGATGATGGTTATCGTCGTTCCGACACGGAGAATTTTCGAAGGAAAAAAGTAACGGTCACTCGACACACGATTGAACAACGATCGTGATGGTTTTCGGAAGGGATCTGTGTATCTCTCGACAGTGGCGTCGTGATATGTTTCGTGCAACAAAGTCAAGGTCAGCGTGGTTCCGCGACGCCACGCCGCGGTAGTTTCGGCAAAGTCTCTCGGCGATTGGTTTTTCTCTCGGGGCAACGATCGTCCGTACACGAAATTGCGTATATATATATGTATATGTTAACGGACGAAGGTCTCGGACACTCGGTGTTGAACAACAAATTTCGGTGCGAAGGACGATTCTCTAACCGGCACGATCGAGCGAATGTGTCGGTCCGCTCTCGTCCATCGAATGTCAGGGTCACCGGCGCAGAGCGCGCGCAGCGTGGAACGCAATTTTCGATCGAAGTTCCGTGACGCGTTCTCCGATTCGCTCGTGCACGGAGTCAAACGAATGAGAGACGAGGACAACAACAAAGACGACGACGACGACGACGAACGGATCCAATCTACACACGACGCAACACCGAGGCTCCGCTTCCTTCTCTTTTCTTTTTCTCTCGTGCCACACGGAGAGTCCACGACGAAAAACACTTGCTCGCACGTAGGGTGTACCAGTCACTGAGCGCCGGCGACGACAGCGTGCCGGCTGCCGTGGCTCGGCGCGCGGGCGAGCGCGAAAGTGAGGCCCCATTGGGTGAAAGCGAAAGCAGCATGGTGGGGGTCACGGCTAGCGCGCCAATCGATGCGCGCCGTTGTCGTCCCTCCGACGGGCGCACGCTACCGCTCTATATCTCCGTCCTTCTCCCGCTCGTACGTCTGTCCTTCTCGCGCTCGCAGCCGGCGCTGCATACACGAGCGCGCGTTTTACTTTTCGAAGCCGGCGAGGAGGCCTGCGAATAATCCTCGATACGTGTGTGCGCGCCGGTACGTACGAGAAGACGTGTACGTATCCACGAATACCACCGCGACTCGACGTAGTATGTATCTCGCAGGAACTTACGCAGAAATCGTAACGAGATAATGCTCTCTAAATTGAAAATTCGCTTCCACCGGATCCGCCGAATCTCTCTCGTTGCTCGAAAGGAAAGCGGGTTGAACGAGTCGCTCAAGGGAACACCGGAGACAGAGTCGAATCAACACAGTCAGAAATGATTGTTCGCGAGTCCGATTGGCGAGGGACGTGTCAAATTCCTGGCTTTTTTTTTACATACCGATACCGATACACGCGGGAACGTCTCAGTCTCGTTACTGCCTGTCGCGTCCAGAAATCTTTTTAACGTTTCGCGTACTTGCGTGACACGTACACGTCGGAAGTTTTCGCGAGTTTGTTTACCACTCTGCCATAGTAGTTCGCGTCGCCACAGTTGGCAGAGCGTACGTGCTCAATCCCACGTACGTATTTCTAATTACTAATTAGCAATGACTCAGGACACGCACACTGGCATACCAATGATAAACGAACGTATTCAATAATTTGCGCGTGTTCGCATTTGAACGTAGAAATACGTTTACCTGTTTACGGCGTGTTTCTAGATTTTATGGTCAAGGACAAAAGGCATTCTAAAAACCGAGCAGGGATCTTTTTCGAAGCGTCATGTGTCGCGTATTCTTGCGGTCAGTAAATACGCTGCTCTGGCGACGGTGTTCGCTACACTCGTGTTTTTTCTCGAATGTAACTTCTCCCGTGTGTACTTTTGCTTCGAGGGATCACCGGTATGAAACAGCGTTCCTCGTATGTTTCGCGAGGTGTAAATATTTACGCCGCTGGCCCTTGGGTATATTACGTCGAAATTCTCGAGAGAAAATGGTAGCGGTTCTTTTCGCGTCGCGAGCCTAACCTACACGCGTTGTATTTTCGCGACGCGAGATTTTTACACTGTTCGTGCCTTAACATCGTGCACGATAAATATGATAAATTTCGGCCGTAATGTTCGTCCGCGTTTCTTTCTCGAGTGCAAGTAAAACTCGGCACGTGTGCCATTCGTGAGAATAAAAAAAATTAGCGAGCCAAAGCGTCGCGGTCGTCTCGTCGTACACAATAGGTTATGTTAATACGCCGCGAGATCAATTCGGCAATCTTTAAATTTAACCACGGTCGTGGTCGTCTCAATTTCGTCCCTGGTCAAACTCGCAAGTGCTCAAAAAAGAATCCAGCCACTTGACGAAATTTATTTGGTTTCGAGATACTATTCTGGACGTGCGGCGTGATGCCGTGAATACGTAGCCTGCAGCCTACAGTAAGTAAATATGTGCCTCCATTCTTTTTGGAAACCACTTTGGAACCACTTTTCGCGTTATACGATTATGACGTGTAACAAGAGAAATTGCTTGAACGCTTCGTAACGAACGTCGAGAGCACGGTCGAAACACGTCTCTCTCGACTTGCGCGAAAACATTGTGTTTACTTCGTCTCATCGGCGATCTGAAAATATCGCGAATGCGTATGTTGATAAATAAATCCGAGCCTCCTCGTATCTATATGCTGGCGATTTATGTTTCGTTTTCGCTCTCTGTTCTACTCTCGCGGCGGTTATCGAAATTCTTGACAAGCGAATTGCACAAACAACACGCAAATATATAACAGGCAAGTGTGTTGCCTCTTATCGTGCGCGTTCTTCTTATCTGTAGCGAAGGTCATTAATGGCAGAGATTTCAGTCGTTGGTGGGCGAAATAAGAAATTATTGGTACGAAAATAAACCGTACGAGGAGGCCGTGTACGCATAAACCGTTGTCTTGCTTCTCCACGACGGTTACACGGAACTTTCAATCCGGTTTTTTTTTTTATCGACGCGGTACCGCGGTTTCTACAATAAAAAGGTATATTGATCACGGGTAAGAAGTGAAAAGAAGTAAAGAAAGAAGGAGGAGAGGCACGGTTATCAAAAATGCCAACGGCTGCGAATTTTTATCATTCACGTGTACGTGTTGTGCGTGCACGTATATTGCGAGCAATAATCAACACCTACGCGTGTGTGCGTCTCAGTGAAAAATGGCCGCCAGTCGTTGCGGTTGAATGTTCGATCGATATTAAAGATAGATATCCAAATCTAATTAACATTCGCATAACGGTGGCTGGGTCTGCGGTGACCCGTTTGAAGTCCTACTTTGTGTATGAGTCACACAAAGTTAGCCTGTACAGCTACGATTTGGCGATAAAAAATGGGATCATATTACGTTTCTAATAAAAAGTCAAATCGGTGACGAATGCATGTACGAGTCAGTTCTGAAGAAGCAGTCAAAGCTGTTGGAAGTGTATTTCATTGCATTGTTTTCAGTATTTTTCATTAGTAGTATTCTTTAGTTTTGCAATATTTTTCATTTTTTGTATTCTTTTAGTGTTTTCCATTTTTTAAAACTTGAAACGATCGAGATGTTTTATTTGCATAGGCAAATGTAGCGCTAAATGTAGCAATTTTGTTTGTAGCAAACATAAATGCAATCTAACGTATTGGATACAACGAAAATAAACAATATTATTTATAGGTAATAAAAGTTGCAAAAGGTGTTTTTATTTCCTACTATCCTATTGTTAACAATCATAATAAAGATACAAAAAAGAAATAAAATTGAACCAGCTATTAACGATTACATATAGGCGTACATCGTTCCACTGGAACGTATATGTATATAATCTAGTCAGTAGCTTGGGTCAGTACGGCCCGTCATGCGAGGGCTTAATCTCAGAATGCTTATTTCTTTTTAATTAATTCTCTCGCAAAGTCGACAATGCTTGAACGTGAATTTGAAAACGAAGGTTTGGAAATTCGACAATTTATAAACCAAAACGCTCAATGAATGTGTATACCGACGAAACGTGATTTCGATGTTATCGATGGGATCTGTGAGAGTTAGTGGTAACTTTTCGAGCATTCCCACGGGCGTCGAGACGTCACGTCGAGAGAGGAACATCCTCTATCTGGAGCACAAATAACAAAGAGTCGATTTTGCCCGGCTGTCAATTCGCGTGTGCTCATACGAGCGAAAAGCACGCGGCGGCGAGCTGGCTCCTGGGACACACCAGCGAAACGGGATACGTATTAGATTACGTTGCATAATTTTATCGGCGATCATAAAGCTGTTACGAAACGTGAGACTCCCAATTCTCTAACTACGTGAGCCATAAATAACGCGTGTTGATGAAAATAACGTCAAGCAATCCTCAACTCCAACGCCACGCCACTCTATTGTACCAACGTGGCGCGAAGGATGACGCAGCTTCAATTTTTCTTTTGCTCCGCTTTGGCGGTAAACTTGAAGCACAATACGATTACTTTGACAAATTGCCAATTATCGCGTCGAGATGTACGTTTCCTTTTCGAAATGACTATGAAATCCGTTCGGTTCGATGTAAACGCAGATACAAAATGTCGTCTGCTTTTTACTTGAACATTCCATTAGCGTGACTACGGGGAACACTGACCGACATTTTACGATTCTCACGTGACGAACAGCCGGTCGTGGTAAAGAAATAAAGCTTAACCCAAAGGCAGGGAGAATTACGATGTATTCTCAAGTGTGTATACAACATACTCGCAGGATACCAGATATATATATTGTTCGTGACAATGCATTGCCGCTGTTTAGATGAAATTCGTGTAAATATTGTTGCGGAGGCTAGAGGCGTAGAATAACGGAGAATCCAGGTCAGTCGGTAGATGAATTTCGTCATGGCTTTACGCAAACGGTGTAAGGTAAACGGGGCTAGAGGGGGAGGGGGGGGGGGATATAACTGAAGAGGGAGCCACCCTGGTAACACGAGGTCGTGGCATCCGAAAAAGGATAATCCAGCATCCTCGAGAGGACCCCGCATGAAAAAGTTGTTTTGATCGTTTCGGGTTTCTAGGACGGTGACCGTGAATGAAGCTTTGGCTGGTATACGACTCGTTCGAGAGGGGGGTTTCGGATGCAGGGTGAACCAGATGTCACTGAAAGGAACACGGCCTATCCCGTTTCGTTCGCGCGTTCGGGCAGCGCTAGGGTGCGCGATTAAAAAAAAACCAAACGGCGCGAGGGTATAGAAACGAAGCTAAGGCAGAGACAATTGCACGGAAGAAAAATTCCTTTTGTTCGAAAACGAATCGGCTGCCCCCTTCAGCATTGTGTCACCCTGCATCTTTCCTCCGAGAAAGGAGTAACGAAGATTAATAATTTCCTCGTCGACTCCGGACGCCTTCCTTAACCAGCTTAAAAGTCGCCGCGACAACATCTGTCTCTGGTCTGAGAAAAGAAATGGAACGCACACATGCAGAAATCACAGGTGAAAAATATCTGACAAGTCAGATTTCACGACTTCTTTCACGGAAACGTTCAACACTGCATTTACATTGCGTTCAAAAAAATAATAAGCAATATTTGTTAGTGTGTTGTGTCTCATAGTACACTGTCTAATAAAATTTCAAAATATTCTGTATTAACACATTCACGTGTAAACGCATAAATGACGCTTTTCTGTGGATAATTGCTCATTCGTTAGTCAGTGCTGTACCAGGATAGGAGAGCGCGATGGCACGAAAGAGGTGGTTGGGGCTGGCGCAGGCAAAGATTCAAAGTCCCGAGGTGCAGTTTCATGCGGCGCTAGGTGGAAACGGGTGGAGGTGGCGGCGGCTGTTCCGCACGGTGGATGGA